CTAATACTCATTGTTATTTTAAGCCACAGCATCCAGAGCTAGTTTGATGTGCAACAATATATAACTAAAGCTGTAACCTAGATCAAATGACTTAAATTCTATGAGTAAACCAACATTATGGCTTTACATTGAACAGATGAGGGAAGAAACAAATCTGGGCCCTAATTACTTTGTTTCTAAGCTGTATCACTGCTTTGTCATGCCCACTTTTCTTTAACTGTTTAGAGAACTAGAAATGTGAAAGGCTGCTTCTGTAAGATCTTAACTTGAGGCCAGTTTTTTTTCTGATGGTTTTCCTGAGACATCTTTACCTACGTTTTGAAGTCTGAGTTGAAAGCGTTATTCAAGAAATGGTCATCAACCCAACATTTGTTGATGAAGGTGTCAGATATGGTTCCTGCTCTTACAAGAATTTATAATCTAACAAGAGAGATGGCTATAAAGAAAAATACTTAGAAATCTGTGTAATAACTTATTGATTGGACACAATTAGGATAAAGCTTTATTTCTCTCCCACTGCTGACATTAAACACATTCTGGTGAACCACCCTTCCCCAGTTGTTGGTAGCAGCATCTCAGGAAGATCCACACATTTCAGATCTCTTTAAGCGAGAATGGTCTCATTTCAGACATTAGAAAGTCAAAATTTCAACTCCAGTTCAGAAATCGTACATCTAATCTCATATGCAATGTGATACTTCTTCCTTTTCATTCACTCATATGTCTTTTTCAGTTTCCTCTTCTGCTCTGGATCCTCCCAGGTCTGGGCTATGGAAGAGGGCATTTGAAAGGGAGGATTTATGCCCTCAGGGATTAAAGCTGTTGTAGTTGAGTCATTGGGGTCCTTTGTTATGGAGATGCCTTTCTCCAAAGAAGATTTTGTTTGCTTCTCCCAGGAAAGTACAACCAATACAGGGCCGCCTCAGCTCCCCCACCATCAAACGTGTCAGGTTTAACTCCTTTGGTTTTCAGAGGCCCCAAGTTTTACTGTCATTACTGTACAGAACCCGGCATTTATATGGAAACACGTAATTTCACTTTGGCTTTTGAATCACCAACTGTAACTCTGATTTCTGCCCCTATTCTTTTTTGTTTGTTCCATTTGTTTACCATTAGAAATATGTCTGATTTCTAAAATAAAAGCAGTGCTTTTAAATGTGCCTTATTCATGATCCAGTTGTATTGCAGTGCTTGGTGCCTTCTGAGTACCTATTCTCATTATTCTTGGAAGTCATCAAGTGGTCTTTTTACCCTTCTTTTGACTTAGAGTTGTGGAACAAACTCCACCCCTTTATAAAGGAGGAAGCGGGACTCTGCTCAGTGAGCCTTAAAATCTTATTTCTTTCCTTTCTCTTCTTTTTACCCCTGGAGTTTGGTGATAAGAGTTGATGGTTCGAGAATTAATAGTAATAACTTTTTAGTAGGTCCTGTAACTCCCTTTAGAATGTGAAGGTACAGTTTTATCATGCTCAGCTTCATTCTTCAGCCGAAATTTTATGGTTAAGTACAATCCAACATCACTTTATATTCTATTTAAGGGTCACAAAGGTTCTGTGAAATATTATAATGAGAAAGATTGAATTTAAAATGTGAGGTCAGCAAAGGTCTTTCTGAAGAAGTAACATCTGATTTGAGAAGTGAAAGGTGATGTTATCTGGGGAAAGAATGGGAAGAGGAGATTGACTGCAGAGGGGAGTTTTAATATCACAGAGAGAGTGATATGAATAATACTTTGTAAAAACAACTCAGGCTGCTAAATGGAAGGGAAATTTAAACAGTATGTCCAAAGAAGAGTCTTTTCTAAGCATCAAAACTTGAGGTGTAAACAGTGTAAGTGCAATGCAAGTGAAAACAACTGGTTAGATTCAAGAAATATTTTGCAGGTAGAATTGCAGAGACATGCAGTGGAATGGATGTGGGATACAAGGAGGGATATATGTTGGGAATAACACCCCGGTTTCACGCTTCAGCAATGGATAGATGAAACTGTCACTTACTGAGATGATCAAATTAGAAGAACAGAAAAGGGAGGTTCATGGTCAAGCATTTGGTTTGAGAGGGCTGTGGATCATGCAGATGGTGGATTTAGATGTCTGGGGAAGAGTCAGGATTGTAAATTGTTACCACTTCCCAATGGGTTGGTGACCCTTCAGTGGGTCCTTTGCCTGGGGTTGCAGATGCCGTTTAAACAAAACAAGGTTCGGCATAGCAGAGCAGAAACTTTATTCACTGATCAAGGAATGGAGAAGGGAGAGCTCATGTTCTTAAAACACCTTCTCCCTGCAGGGAGAGGAGCAAGGGAATATTAAGGAGTAGGAGGCAGACGCGTCATCAGGACTCTAGGAAAGGGGTGGGTATTTCCAGGGGCAGCTGGAGCATGCACAGTCTTCCAGGCTTCTTTGCACAGGGCATGAATTGTGCCTAGAAGAGTGCAAATTTCCTTCCTAGGGCAGAGATCTTAGCATGGTAATGAAGCAAAGCTAACTTCCAGACACCTCCAGGCCTTATCTGTGCAGGAGCTGGAACAGGACAGTTGACCACTGCGTATCTCTTCAAGCACAGCTGTAAAACATCTTTGTCAAATATCAGGTGCTTTTGAAACAAACAGATAAGTCAAGGCAAGGATTCTTTAGCTTCAGGGGCTAGTATGGGTGACAAAATGAGAATTTGAGGCCACTGAATCCTCCTGAGTAATTCCAGTATTTATTATTTGAGTTGCAAAGAGCTGATGAAGGTCACTGAGAATGAACCATTAGAAGAAATGGGGGAAACCAGGATAATGGCCAGGATAAACAAGACAGGAACAGAACAGCGTTCACTGGGCTTGGCCACACTGAGATCAGGAGTGGTCTTGGGGGTGGGAGATAGAGGAGGAAGCCAATAGTCTTAAGGATTGGAGTTTTGGAAGCTTCACTGCCAACACCACGGCAACTACTTTCTGATTCTTTCAATAAAGAAAAGTATGAATCAGAGAGAAACACAGACCCTTCATAAATGTACAGAATGAATTCACTCAGTGGGATAATGGACCCTGAAGGACCAAGGACAATCTCCATTTTATATTTTCTCTTTTGATTGCCCTTTAAATACAGGTGCATTTGTCAAAACACACATGCTAATTTTTGCTTCTCTTTGCATGTAAGATGTTAGTGGTGGGCTGGAAAGGTGACACAGCTTGTTAAATGTCTACTAAATCTCAGTAAAATAAACTGGGTATTTCGAGGTCTCATATCCATGATGTTCCACTTGTCCAGCTACTTCTCAGCCGTATTAAAAAGCACATGCCTCATTTCCTCCCTTAATTTGCTCAGAAGGATGAGTGGGAGTATTGCAATGCCTACCATTCTCCAAGTTAATGAAGCACATTACATGACTTTAAGAAAACAATCCACTGTCCTGCCCTCTAAACTAAGCCTCTGGGTTACGGTCACTGATTAAAACCAACTGAGTATCCAGTAATTGGACTCAATTCGGACAGTGTCACCCCAGAAATAGCATCAGATTTCATGGGTAAAGGGCTTAGCCCAAGACTGCCCCTCACTTTGGATACCAGTTGCAAGCCCTGGTTGTTACCTGTGCTTCTTGCTCACTGGCTATACACCACAGGTTCTCGGGAACCCCCTCCTTGGGTTGAATGAATTTCCTAGAGTGGCTCACAAACCTCAGGAAACCTGTTCACACATTAGATTCCCAGTTTTTGACAAAGGATGTTAAAGGATAGGAATCAACATCCAGATGAAGAGTTGAGGTTACATTCAAAGGAGCTCCTGTCCTCCTGGAGGTTGGTGCAGCATGGTGGCACCTAAAAATGTTCTGGTTCCCCAATCTGAAAGCTCTTTGACCCATCCTTTTGGGTTTTTATGGCGGCTTCATTACATAAGCATGGTTGATTAATTTAATTTGACAAGAAATAAGACATTATGAAAAAATTTTCACCTTCAAGCTATAAAGCAGTTCTTACCAGTTTCCAAGATTTTCCTCTCTTTAGGACAAGGTCTTAATGGCTTAGATGTTCTCAGTTACCCATCATAAACTTATCTCATGCCATGGAACCTTATTATCTTCCTAAACAGTTAAAACGAGCTTCTTATTTATGTATTTTTTTTTCAGAGTGTGCTGTTCAGGTGGGCAAGTGTAAGATTAATTATAATGTGAATAAGATGCATTTTTTATTTAACCTCAATACAAGGAGCATTTTTCTAAAACTGCAGAATAGCTG